TCAGATTTCATCCAAAACGCTTTTGTCTTTCCAGCATTCAGATGATTTGAGAAAGTGCTGTATGTGTTTATTTGAGCAGGATTCCTAACGGACTGTGACTTTGATCGCGGTGTGTGTGAATGGGTGCAGGATAATGAAGACGATCTGGACTGGACCATCAAATATCATGAAAACGGTACAGACTCACATGAGCGGTAATAAATGTGTCCACTGGGAAAATGAACAGAAGTCAACAGTTCCCACTCGAGCCAACTTAGTCAGGGTTTGAATATCAAAAACATTTTCCATATTTCTCAAAACACATATTAATTGACCTCAAATAATATAAAATATAAAATAAAAAACTAATAAAGTAACTACAATAATATTTTGTATATGTAATCACTTGGCAGAACATGGGCGTCTTACGGGTGATGCTGGACAACAGCGCCGTCGCCGTCTGGGAGAAACGAAACCCTCACAAGCACAGCTGGCAGTCAGAGAAGATCACCATTAACTGGACAGAAAACACTCCAGAGGCCGTGAGTTACAGTCATCCAGCCTGACCTGTGAGATTTACAAATTGTGAAGCAAATACATTGTTTTCTAAAAGTTCTTTAAACTGCAGTGTGTAATATTTGAGCCACTCTGCAAAAGAATGCTCTTCCTCAGTATTGTTGTCTTGTTTTCTAGTACAAATAAATAAACATTTTTAAATCAAGAAAAATACATTTACTTGAGATGCAAGATACATTTACTTAATTCTTGTTTTCTGAATAATCTGTCAAAATTAAGTCAGTTTATGCTTAAAACAAGAAAGATGAGAAAAAAAAAAGTTTTCTGTTTGAATTAAGTTTATTTTTCTAACCACATTGGCAGATATTTTTTCTTGTTTAAAGCATAAAATCACTTTTTTTCCTTTTTTTTAATATCTTAAGTCATTTTTGCATCTCAATTTTCTTGTACTAGAAAACAAAAATATTGAGTAAGAAAATCTTTTTTTTTTTTTTGCACTAGCAGCACCAAACATAAATTGATAAATATAAACTGTATAAAGTAATAGTAAACGAATTATATATTTGTGTGTGTACATAAAATTATTTTATTTATTTATAAATTATTTTATTTATTTTTAATTATACTGTTATTATGAAGTAATAATAATATAGTTGTACGTATGTGTTTGTATGTACACACACAAATATTAATAATATTTAAGATTCATTTTTTTATTCTATTGCTATTTTAATCACTTTAATATTTTAAAAATTGTAATAAGTATATATTTACCTAGGTATTATTTAAATATTATAACTACACTTAAAAAAAAAAGTACTGGTGGTAATTTTCCCCCCCAGACATTATCCATTAATTTCATGGACATTTCCATTAACCCTAAAACACAAAGCAGTGCAGTGCAAAATTCAAAATGCAGGTAAAAAAAATCAATACAGAAAATTCCTTCATTTCAATACAATACATTGTGCTGTATTTTTACATATTAGAGTGTAGAAATACTGACTTTTTCGAACAGGTTACAAACAATACAAGAAAAAAAAATCACATTGAATTCACTGAATGGTGAAAAGAGTCTAATTGTTTTGTCACTTTAATGTTCTCCAGCTTATTATCTTTATTAATGTAAATGGTTTGCCTGTTTCTTCAGATCATCTTTGAGGCCGAGCGTGGGAAGTCAGTAAGCGGAGAGATCGGTCTGGATCACGTGGCTCTGATCTCTGGACCCTGTTTGGATGATAAAACCGTCATCTTTTAGCGGCGCCACAAAGAACATCATTTAATTTGTGACTTTTTTAACCATCACAACAACAACAACAAAAGACAGATTTAGCTGTTGCTCAGGTTTCAGAATAAGCAGGTACAAACCTGCATGAAAATAAGGAGAATTTCATTTATTGAGTGTCATTGATTTTATGTTTTCTGATTGTAGGTAGATATCAGTCACTATTTGTATGATTATATAAACACTGCAACATTATAATGGCTGTAAATTTTGCTTTACATTAAAATATTTTAAGAGATTTACCATTTTTACACTTCTGTCATATAATTCTTTATTAATACTTAATTTCAAATCAGATCATCTCTGCCAAGACTCATTGTCAAGATGACAGCATCTCGTTAATTTTCTCTATAAAGAAATGGATATTTAGCAATGAAGTATAAACCTTAAGACCTTCTGTAGATCAGCTCTGAGCTTCTTCAGTAGTAGAACTTCTTTCTAATAAATAAATACTTTTAAATAAATAAATGTCTTCCCATAATACTGGTTAGACACTATATTGAATTTAAAAGCTGTGAGGGATAGATTTGCATATTGATGGGAGAATAAACATTTGCAAAGCTTTGAATCAATTGAATCAACTGCTTCGCAAAATTATTCACTGTTTCGAAGCGAAGCGCTCAAGTCTAGACGCTGGTGATGCCTGCTGGTCAAAACTGAGTAAATGCAATGCAAACTCTGGCCAAAACATGCATAAAACAACTTTTACAGACACATTGCAAATGTTTTATTTAAAGTATAATAAATGCAATTAACAAATCATCAAATACTATTAAATATGATGAAGTGTCTGTATAATGCGTTCTTTTATATTCTTTTGCAGGGCTTGTTATGTTTGCTTGTCTAAGAGACTTTTAACTATTACTCTTCCTTATAATTACACAAATGTCTCATTAAAAATGTCTGCAAATGTATCAAACTGAACTGAGATCAGGTAAAAAGCATAGACACTGGTTCAACGGTTCGCCAAACTGTGAATCATGAGATCATTGTCCCCCAACAGTGAACCACTGAAATTTCTAAAGAGTTGTGGAGTAAGGAAGGGTTGTTTACTGAAATCACGTGACTTTGAACCAATGGTCCGAAATAATGATTTGCAAAGGTTTCCAAGTTTCATGAAGCAGTGCTTCGAAAGTGCTTCATCGTTTTACAATGGCACGCAATGTATAAAGGTCCCAGATCACATCATTTTTACAACTCAAAATTTTCAAAACTGCTGTATGGAGCTTTTGTCTACGGAAATGTTTCGTCAGCTGAACAAGCTGCAAAAAAAGCTGTTTTGTACAGCTAGAAGCGGATGACACCGGAAGTTAGACGCATTAAATTGACTAATGGCACCCGCTCTTACGGGAAAAATAAGCCTCATTTTCATTCCAGTCAAAAATTAAATATGCTGCTACCCTGACATAGTTGCATACTGTCGCTTGTAATATTGTACTTTTTCTAGAGTTTCTTTGTACACGTGTTTTTGAATAATATGAATGGAAAATCAGAAGGAAGAAGTAAATGCACTCATAATATTCAAAAGACAATGGTCGCCACCTACTGGTGTTATAATGTAACTTACCCAGATGGCACACGTACGTCTGCAAGATGTCTGTTAAAGATCGCTTCATCTGGAAAGCATCTGCAGTGTACAAACATCTGATAGACGCCTGTAAGGTGTCAGTTTTACATTCATTCTAAATCATAAACATCTCAAAGACATCTTCTAAACGTCTATTTGACATCTGATAGGAAACGTCCTATAGACGTATTGCAGATGAACAAACAATCTAAAAAATACGTCTTGCAGATGTAAATGCAGACGTCAAATAGACATCTCTGTGATGTATGTCAGGGTACATGAACATCCGAATCGGCGATTCACAAAGCAGATGTAGCAGTGGGAATCACATGACACGGAGCTTCGTCATTAATGCAATGCTTCATTTAAGCTTCTCAGATTCTTCTCATTTTATTGTTTAACATGAAAATATACTGTGTTTAGAGACAGTAAACTGCATGTGTGATAATGTCTAATTATCACATGCCTAATGCCTAATGTTTGGAGAGCGAATGAGTCTCTGAAGAGATTTGATTTGATTCTTTCCTTTCATCTAGAGATGGGCTGCTGTTTCTACAGCACTGGAAACACAGTCTGTTCATGCAGGTAATGATTAATTGTAAAGGTTTGATAGAACTGGCTGGAAGACCTGCCAAGAGAGCATTGCAGTAGTCCAGCCTGGACAGAACAAGAGCTTGAACAAGGAGTTGTGAAGCATGTTCCGAAAGAAAGGGCCAGATCTTCTTGATGTTGAATAGAGCAAATCTGCAGGACCGGGCAGTTTTAGCAATGTGGTCTGAGAAAGTCAGCTGATCATGAATCATAATTCCAAGATTTCTGGCTGTTTTTGAAGGAGTTATGATTGATGTGCCTAACTAGATGGTGAAATTGTGATGGAACAATGGGTTTGATGGAACCACAAGCAGAGTTGAAGATGATGGTCCTTCATCCAGCAAGAAATGTCTGTTAGACATGCTGAGATGCGAGCCGCTATCGTCGGATCATCCGGATGGAATCAGAGGTAGAGTTGAGTGTCATCAGCATAGCAGTGATATGAAAAGCCATGTTTCTGAATGACAGAACCTAGTGATGCCATGTAGACAGAGAAGAGAAGTGGTCCAAGAACTGAGCCCTGAGGCACCCCAGTAGTTAAACGTTGCGACTTGAACACCTCACTGTGACGGTTCCAGCAAGTAACCGGTTATTTCTGAGCTACAGGTGATTTGGCTGAGGGGAGTGGTTGCACACCTGAAGGTAATCATGGCGCTCTATAAAAGACTGGGACAGAGATGGCGACATTGGCGTGAGCGTGAGCGTGGGCTGGGCTTGTGTGGAGCTTGAGCTGTCTGTGTTTGCTCCATACCTTGGGTTACACATGAGGCTACCGGAGGACTGATGAGATGTGAGAGATACGGGAGATCACCGTCGCCGTAGATCCATCTCCTTTGGGGATGGTTGTTGTTCTTGGAGGATCCATGGACGGTGTTTGGTCTTTCATACTTGTTACACACTTACATGTATCTGCTGACACACTGACTACCATTTATATTGACATTCTACATGGTTCTGTTTTATATGGACAAATAAATTAACTTAATAATTAGTTGTGGTGTGTGGTGACTCCCTTATTTTGTTGCGATCCAGAAAGAGATCGTAACATCACCTTTCCAAGATACCTTGAAGGACCTATCTGAGAGGAAAGACTCAAACCACTGGAGTGAGGTTCCTGAGATGCCATTTGCCAGTAGGGTTGACAGGAGGATCTGGTGGTTAACCGTGTCAAAAGCAGTGGACAGATCCACTTTTTTTTTTGGAATCCGCTTTTAAGGTTTTCTAGCATTATACTTGAGAAAGTTTCAATGCAAGTTAATTTTGAATGCATTTTATTGAAATGTAACCTGAAGAAATCCTGATGTTGTCAGACCTGTTTAAACACCCCAAGCTGATCAGAAACTCCACCCTCTTACAACACTTAACAGGGAGAGACTTGCTATTTCTCCTTTAGAGATTAGAATTTAGAATTTAGAACTTAGAATTTCTCCTTTCTGTCACTGATTTTCTTCTCTTTGAGAAAAGCTAACAAGAATTAGCCATCAGTGGACAACGAAGAGAAAGACTTTGAATACGTTTCTTTCTGAACAGACAGCAGATCTTTCTGATTCTCGTTGTTATTCATTTTTTAAACTGTCATTTAGAAAGTGAAAGTAAAGTTTAGGTTGCTGGAGCTCAAACAATGAAAATTGCTTCATCAGATGAATATGACTATAATTGTCCCATGTGCTGTGAAATCTTCAAGACTCCTGTTCTTTTATCATGTAGTCACAGTGTCTGTAAAGAGTGTATTCAACAGTTCTGGAGAACCAAGGAAACTCAGGAGTGTCCTGTCTGCAGGAGAAGATCCTCAAAAAAGTTTCCTCCAACAAATCTGGCATTACAAAACTTGTGTGATTCATTCCTGAAAGAGAGAAATGAGAGCCATTCATCAGGATCTGAGGAGATCTGCAGTTTACACAGTGAGAAACTCAAACTATTCTGTCTGGAGGACAAACAGCCTGTGTGCTTTGTGTGCAGAGATGCAAAACAACACGACAATCACAAATTCAGACCAATAAGTCAAGCGGTTTCATCAAATAAGGTAGGACAAATGTTTCTTGTTTCATATGTAAAGAACAATGAGTAATCATAAACAGATATCATCACATTCATGCACTCAGTATTTCTCTCTGACATTCTGAGTCTTTTGTGCAGAACACGATTCTTCTTTTTTCTTAAATATTGCATGTATATGGCCTATGCTATCCTTTTCTGTTGATTATTTGATTAATAGTTGATTATCCCTTTTGCTTTCTCTCAAATTAATTACTGTAATGCTCTCCCTGTTGGAGTGTCTACATTTTCTCTTAACAAATTGCAATATGTGCAAAATTCGGCAGCTAGAATTCTAATTGAGGCCAGGGTTGGTGACTGTATAACCCCTATTTTGCAGCCGTTGCATTGGCTTCCCGTTAGCTACCATACATATTTTAAAATCCTAATGTTAATGTATGAGGCTTTGCATGATTTGGCTCCGCAGTATCTGGCCGATCTTTTAATACCTTACACTCCAAGTCGCATTTTGCGATCCTCTCAGTGTGGTCTCTTAGCTGTTTCACAAAACATGGCTTCATTCCAGGGCCTTCTCATCTTATGCTCCAAAACTGTGGAATACTCTCCCAGCTGACATTAGGGAAGCAAATTCATTGGGTATTTTTAAGTCTTGTCTTAAAACATTTTATTTCACGATTGCTTTTACTTGATTAGCTTTTCCATTGTGTTGTTTTTTATTTATCTGTTGTTATATTTGTATTGTTTTATATTGCTGTGTAAAGCTTTTGTGTAAAGCACCTTGAGAAAGTAAAAACACTTTTAAAGGCGCTACACAAAATAAAACGTTTTATATTATTGTGTACATCTCAGACTAAATAGTTTTAGATCTTAAAAGAAATACAACATAAAGGCAACTTGAGTAAATAGAGTACAGTTTTAAGTACATTTTTTTTTTATCCAATATCTATCACCCATGTAAAAAAAAAAGCAATAACAGCAACTAAACGTTTGTGATAGCTGGAATCGAATACTTGTAAAATTAAAATTTAGATTCCTCCTATAAATACCTGTGTGCGCATCCTTTTTTTCTCCACCTGTGAGAACCAGACCTGGCGATCTGCCGGGACCTTTCTCGCTAATCTAGGCGCTCCAATGTTTGGCTACATTTGTGGAATCAGAAGCCGAAAAAGCTAAGTGTAATATTTGTGATAAGCTAACTTGTTGCAAGAGAGTTGTCACCACCAACATGACAAAGCAAACCTTTAAAGCATACTTCGGGTCTTTAGCAACCCGGGACGTCATTCACTATCCTCTCCCTCCTTCATTTCTTAAAGTTAGACATCAACTTTTTTAGTATTCCTCAATCTATTCATTATAAACAATATAACAAGAAAAAAATAATAAAATATTAAAGAATGTCTGTTTTCTGATTATTTTTTGTAGAAAGTGTATAGGGTCGCACCTAAACTTTTCTGAAGACAGTCAGTTCCACTCAGAGATACATTCGTATAAACCCACACCCCCAATTCAATATATAGGATTCGTATTGTGAACAGTGAGTTTGCTGCCTGTACAGTGTGCGTCCATCTTCAGCGTCTCCCTGCTGAAAAAACTAAAACAAAAAAAACAATAGAAACCATCACAGAAATTCTAATGGTTTCCACTACAAATACCATTACAAACATTACAAACCATCAACTATTAACCATTAAAACCATTAAAAAATTGTTACTTGTAGTGTGTTTTGAGACATTTTCCATTAGGATTTAGTGGTTTTAACAAGCCCCAATAAAAGTTGACAAATTACAGATAGAGACCCACAGGGACCACTACAGTTTCCATTAAAACCAATACAATTCCAATTATAACCAGTAAAACCTCTAATGGTTTCTATTGGTTTTTAACGTCCCATTTATAGGCTTCATAATCTTTCCACACAAATGACATTTTGGAAAATGACTGCAATGCAGTTTGTGCAAGTCCAGAACAGAGATCGCCTGAAATAAAACAAAAAACAGGCCTTTTGCCAATCTCTCATTTGGAGCAGAAACTGGCTGATTCCGATTTATGGCCGGACAAGTGCATCTTTAAATTTCCTAAATTGTTCTGTTCTGGGCTTTTTGCCCAGTTAAATAATTAGTTGTGTGTTATTAATAGTTCTAAAAGTTCTCTAACCATTAGTTAGAAGTGTATCCATTTAACAGGGATCTCAGACCCTTCTCAGACTGATATATTTTAATCACCTTCTTCCTCATTAGTTCTGGATTTTTTTTTTAAACTTTGGTATAGTGTGTTACTGGGTGGTAAGACCTTTTAACCAAATTCATGCTGTTAAAAATAATTATATTTAAGTGTATTTTGCATTTACTCAAGTTGCTTTTTAGGTTTGGTTATGGTTGAAATAATTTATTATGAGATATACACACACACAAACAAAGGAAAAATAAATCAGGATAGGGCAAATACTTTTTCACAGCACTGTTTGATGATCACGCTATTCTCTTCACTTCACTGTAATCTGGTGTTTTTATCTTGTTCAAATCTAGGAGGAGCTCAATACAGCACTGAAGTCCTTACAGGAGAAAGGTCAACACAGTGAAAGCATTAAAGAAGAGTTTGAAAAAATAGTTCAACAAATCAAGGTGAGGAAACAGAATCAGGAGTAATTTTAAGGACAGGTGTAGGATCACTATACACAATTATGTTATATTTAACATAATGGATTCCAGTTGATTATTTTTGTAAATGACAAGCATCAATCTGCTTCTGGATCTGTAATATGTCGGGTGTCTGAGTTTCTCTGGGATCTGAATGATGTGATGTGTTGATGTGTGTTGATTGAGATGATTGAAGTGAATGTGATTTGATTTCAGTCTCAAGCTGAGCACACAGAGCGTCAGATTAAACAGCAGTTTGAGAAGCTTCATCAGTTTCTCAGAGATGAAGAAGAAGCTACAATCGCTGCATTGAGAGAGGAAGAGGAGCAGAAGAAGCAGATGATGAAGGAGAAGCTGGAGGAGATGAACAGACACATCTCAGCTCTTTCACACACAATCAAAGACACGGAGGAGATGATGAAAGCCAGTGACGTCTGCTTTCTGAAGGTCTGATTTCAGATCATGCATTGATTGATTGATTGATGATTGATTGAGTTCTTGATTATCAATGGTGTGTTTGTTCTGCAGGAGTTTCCAGTCACGATGGAAAGGTGAGTGATCTGCTGCTGTCTCTGCTCTCTCTGCTTCTGATCCAAAGCCACTGCAGTTCTGATCCTGAATGTTCTTCCAGAGTCCAGATCTCATCACAGCCGGATCCACAGACGCCTTCTGGAGCTTTGATTCATGTGCCGCGTTACTTGGGCAACCTGCCCTTCAGAGTCTGGAAGAAGATGCAGGACATCGTCCAAAACAGTGAGTCTGGAGAAGATCTGTGCTGTTACACACACACTGGAAATGACGCATGAGGGAATATTTATAGTTTCCTTTCAGTCCATCCCTTTTGATGTTGTGTTGAAATTCTAAAGCTAGGTGTCACTCTTGGGAGCCCCAAACACCTTTAACATATTCAGAAAAGACCAATGAAATTGGTGAGTGAAATTTGCATGTGTGGCCATGCCCCGGACATCCAGGTATCCTCGCTATTGGATATACTGCACAATCAGCGGTCTCTCTTCACCTCCACACAGATAAGTGTTGAGATTTCCCCGGGGTGCTTTGATGGCAATCTCTAAAAGCTGAATTTCCTACTAAAAGAGTAGTAAAGAGTAATTTCTCTAAAAGAGCTTTCACAGCGCACTGTATATAATACGGTGGCATTCTATTTACCTTAGTATGAGGAGAGAATGCCACTGTTCATCCGGCAGACATTGCTGTCCTCCTAGCAATAGAGCATATCCTCTCAGCCAAGATGAAGAAGTGGTTTAACAGCCCTGGCACACCACAGTGTCACTATACATTCAGCCCTTGGACAGACCCTTTGTTTCTACGGGCAGGAGCTCCCTTAGAACAAGTGTCCAGATGCATTGTTGTAACAACAGATGCTTCTACTGGGGCTGGGGAGCTGTATGCATGCAGCATTGGGTTCTTGGACAGGACCCAAGATACATTGGCTCATCAACTGCCTAGATTTGTTGGCTGTGCTTTGAGGTGGTTTCGACCTTTGATCTAAGGCAAGCACGTGTTGATCCAGATGGACAACACAGCAACTGTAGCTTATATCAACCACCAGGGTGGTATTCGCTCTCGTCGCATGTCACAACTCGCCGGCCATCTCCTCCATGAGGAGGAATTCTGAGGGCTATCACCAGCAGTGATAGATAAAATTACTCAAGTTAGAGCCCCCTCTACAAGGCAGATATATGCTCTGAAGTGACGCTTGTTCATCAATTGGTGTTCTTCCCAGGACGAAGACCCTAGGAGATGTGGTATTGGGTCAGTGCTTTCCTTCCTCCAAGAGGGCCTGGAAAGGCACCTATCTCCATCCATCATGAAGGTCTATGTGATTTCAATAGCAGCAAATCATGACACTGTGGATGGTAGATCGATGGGAAAGCACAATCTCATTATTTGATTCCTGAGAGGTGTGCAGAGATTAAATCCCCAGAGACCACACCTCATCCCCTCTTGGTATCTCTCAGTGGTCTTACGGGCCTCACAGAGAGATCCATTTGAGCTTTTGGAGTCAGTCAAGCTCAGTGACCTCTCCATGAAGACACCCCTCCTAACCGCACTCACTTCTGTCAAGAGGGCAAGGGATCTACAAGACCTCTCTGTAAAAGTGACGTGCTAAGAGTTCAGACCGCATACTCTCATGTTGTCCTGAGACCCCATCCCGGATATATGCCTAAGGTTCCTACTACCCCCTTCAGGGATCAGGTGGTAACCTTGCAAGCTATCCCTGCTGATGAGGGAGACCCAGACTTGTCTCTGTTGTGCCCAGTACGAGTTTTGTGAATTTATCTGGACCACACACAGAGTTTCAGGTTATCTGAACAGCCCTTTGTCTGCTGTGATAACATGCGCTATTTCGGTCCAGTTCTAGTGTCCATTGAGTGGTGAACCCTGGACTACTAACTTTTCCATCATTAAGCACATTGTGGTAGATGAGTTTAGTGGGGGAACTCATTACTAGAACCATTACCTGTGGTTATTCCCCTTTATAAATGAGCCCTCGTAATTGGGTTAGTGCTCCATATGAAGTGACTCTCTAACAATAGGTCCCATATGTATATTCTTCTGCTCTTTTTGGTTTCCCTAGTGCAAACCCTGTGTCTTTACCTGGACAGAGCTTCACTCTGTCACCTGTTCTCTGTGTATGGCTGACTCTGCCAATCGGTGGAGCCCACCACAGATGGTTACACCAGATGAGCTACTACACCAAAATGAGCCGTAAACAAGAGAAGAACAACTTTGGTCCACGTGATATTTACAGTTACAGTGATGCAGCAGATCTCAGTTCAGTTTGATTGATTGGCAAATCTAAAATATTTACTGTAACAACACTGACAATGATGAGAGGAAAATGTCTGATCTAGGTTAAAGAGAGTCCATGCTGGATTATTGGAGTCACTACAGCATCAAACCAGAGGAAGGGAGGTGTTTTCTTTAACACTGATGTCTGGTGTGTGGAGCACAGATGTTCTGAACGGGCTGGTTTTCCTGTTAAACAGAAGCTTGAGCGTGTGAGAGTTGATCTGGATTATGACAGAGGAACGGTGTCATTCTCTGATCCTGTAACTGACACACATCTACACACATTCACAACCATCTTCACTGACATAGTATTTCCATTATTCTGTTGTTACCCTCTGAGGATCTTACCGTTCAATAGTTAATAAATGTTACACTTGCAGGTCTGGATTGACCTGCTTTTATGACCATTGATTGTCCATCTTTTACACTCATCATGTTTCCAATATTTAATCCATATCACAATTTCTATATTTATTCAACAAGAGACTAATGAATAATTGTTTATTTCCGTTATAAATGTTAAATGATAATTCGTTCACTGATGTAAATCTGAATTGGTTAGCGAATCAGTTTGAATGATTCGTTCAGTTCACTGCATGCACTGAATCATCTGAAAACTGTAATGGGAAACTGAACACAGAGAACATAAGGAGTGTTGCATGGAGTAGATATGAACCTACAATCTGCAAAAAAACAATTTGCAAATGCTTCATATTGTTGACATCAATGAAGATTCAAAGTATCCAGATAGAAATTTGTTAGCCATTCTCAATGGGAAAGTACCCAAGCAACATTGCTTAAAAAGTTGCCCCGTGTATCATCAGCCTAACACTTTCACAATGGTCTTGTTTAAAGTTTTAGAAGAAACCTCATCATCATCATCACACATTGTGCTCAGATTTTTCTCCTAAACTAAAGACTCTTGTGGTCTCATATTTGTCTCAACCAATGTTTCAAACAAGATCTCAGTAACATCACAGACTGTGCTCAGATATTTCTCCTTAGCTGGAGACTCTGGATCTCTCACATTTGTCTTCTCAAAAGTTTTGAAGAGATCTCAATAGCATCACATCTGATATCTCTAATCTCAGAAGAGATATCAATATCTCAATGTGATTTCCTGGCTAAATAAAGGAATAATAATAAAATAAAATCACATATTGTGCTCTGGTTTGTCTTAAGCTAAAGACTATGGGGGTCTCATATTTGTCTCCCATAAAGCTTTATAAAATATATATAGATGCATATCTCCAGGGCTGAAAATGAGTCCCACTCCGGCCCTGGCGACAATTATCTGTCGTATGGGTTCACTTTCACCGGGGATCCCTCGGCAGCACTCCCCTTATGCTTAGTCTGTGGAGAAAAACTCTCTAACCATGCAATGGTTCCTAGCAAGCTTAAACGCCATCTACAAACAAAACATCCACAACATATTTTGTGCGTTTGAGAGATCAAATGGAGAAACAGGCTTCTTTGATGAGAAAAAGTACCACAGTGTCTGAAAAAGCTATTGAAGCTAGCTACCTGGTTGCTGATTTAGTGGCAAAATTGAAAAAGCCACATACAGTGGCAGAGTCATTAATTCTGCCTGCATGCAAAGCAATTGTGAAAACAATGTTGGGTTCAAATGCTGTCAAAGAAATTGCAAAAGTGCCCCTTTCAAACAATTCAGTTGCCAGATGCATTGATGTTATGCATTGCAATGCATCTTTGTGCAATTTTCTTATATTTTAATGGGTAATGTGATAGTGGTGTGCCATGGAATTTTTCACTTATCAAAACTGTGCCGTGGCAGAAAAAAGGTTGGGAAACACTGTCTTAAGACACAGCTGATATCTCAATTAGATATATAAGAGAATCAGCCCTTAGTATCCTGTGTCTAATGTTAATAGTATCAGCCTTAATGTTCCTGTGGCTCAGTGGTAGAGCATTGCGTTTGCAGCACTAAAAGTTGTGGGTTCGATTCCCAGGGAACACACATATTGGTAAAAAATGTATAGCCTGAATGCACTGTAAGTCACTTTGGATAAAAGCATCTGCTAAATGCATTAATTATTATTAATTATAAATTATAGTATCCTGAGTGTAGAGTAACCTGTCAGAGCCATAGCCTTGTGGGCAGCACATCGATGTGAAGGCACAACTGCACCTCAGACAGCACCAGTTCATGTCCCAGCTAAAGGTACTTTCCTGCTCTTGTTCCCTTCTCACCTGTCCAATTGTTTTTACTCCTACTGTCCTGACCATTAAAGGTGAAAACCCCCAACGTAATCAAGAAAGAAAGAGCAACCTGTGAGCACTAAACAGTTTTATAAGAGTCTTGAAAGAGATTATAGCAAGACAATAAAGAGATCTCCCATGTTTCTCACAGTTCATTCTCATTTTGGACTCCTTTCTCTCAGAACTTTCTCATGTCTCAGTTGTGTCTACTTTTATTTCTCCTAAGACATTTTAGGAGAAACATCTGAGACACTGTTGATACTTGTCAAAGTATTCAGCTGGTGTGCCCTCTTTAGCCACTAGAGGGCACTTCTCCCTTCATGGACATTCTGTTATGAACTCCATTTCCCAAACTACATTGCTCTGTCTCATGTGAGATGATTGTTTGCACCTGCTTCCATTTGGATCATTAGGGTCCTGCCTATATAAGCTGCGTTTATCTCTACCATTGTCATTTAGGTTTTACATTGTTATACTGCCTTCTGAGTTCTTTCAGTCTTGTTTATGTTTCATGGTTTTTGGATCTCTTGCCTGTTTTGTGGATTATTATAACAACGTTCGTAGATCGGGAAGAAGGAGGCGGGAACCGGCGAACATTTAAACATCAAACTTTAATAAATAAACAAACAGAAAACTAAAGTAAAAGCGGCAGCCCCTCACGGACGACTGCCGCATAAAACATAATAAAACAACAGCATTAAATCCAGGCCTGGTCCTCT